ACGCATAGAATTGTAAAAAATGGGTTAGAAAGATGATTTAGGGTAGTAAAATTGGTGACTAAGGCAAAATCCTCCCACCCCCGATAAAAGAAAAGAACCGGAAAAAGTAGTTAGCTGTATAAATGACCATTAATGCGTATCCGCTAGGCTCCACCCGGCTACTTTATCCACCTCACTTTCTACACGCTGCGTACGGAGGAGTGCTGTGATCGAGTGACCGTCTACGATTCCAATCTCAAGGACGGAGCCAAGATTCTCAAAGAGTAGGTTCGTGTTGAATTTTATTGGAATTGTTTGATGTATTTTGTGCATTTTAAGGTGGGTTTAGTGGTTTTTTATTCCTGGAAAGTTTTAAAAACCTTTTAAAAAATTTTGAAACCGTGAAATTTTGGTGTTTTAGACGTTTCTGAAACATTTTTACGAAAAAGGCCCAGATTTTCTGGTTTTTATTCTGGTTGTTTATGTAATTTTATATGTATTTCTTTTTATCTATAAGCTGCAAAAATGCTATAAAAATGGCCTATGTTTTATTATAGAGCCGTAACGCAGTGCTGTACAAAAAATTGTTTCACTTTACGTCAAAATGGCGGGAAAGGACCAACAATTCTCAGGCTTTTTAATTCGCGTTAAAACTTCTAAATTTTTATAACTTTACCAGCCGATTACAGCCGCTTCGCGACTGTAGTCGGCTGGCCTTCGGGCTACCCTCTATGTTCTACACCACCACCTTCCATTCTACCTTAATCAATACCCACGCTGATCGCTTCACAACCTTCTCTAGCCAACCCCGGAAAAAACTTAATCTACCTACCTATACTAACTACCATAAACTAACTAACTAATCAACTATAATAATTTTGCTGTGGTGTCTGTCTGTCTGTCTGTCCGTCATGTCCCGAATTCAACTCGAAGGGGAAAGGAGCTAGAGCTTAGGTCTCTTCGGATTTGGATAGAGCGTGGTCAGAAACCCCAAAACTGATAAAAAAAATTATGAAAAAGTTTTAAAATTATTAAAATTAACTTTGAAAGTGGCGCCTTAATAAAACGAGTGGGGGTCCCTCTCCAGGGAGGCCACGCCCCCCCTTTCCCTTCGCCCCTCTTCCCCAGGCCCCTTCCCGCGCCCAAATAGCTTTTGAAGTTATATATATGTATATGAATGGTTTATTCAACCGGGTAATATAACGTAGGCGAAAAATGACAAATAAAAAAAAATTTGCAACGTACAGTTACTAGTTACTTTAATACTTTTTAATACTTTTTAATTATGTTAATTTATTATTTAAATAATTTAAAGTATCTAAGTAGTTTTTGAAGGGGATTTCAGCCATGGGGGGTATCTGAAGCCATCAGGAAGGTATTTAGGTAGTTTTTGAAGGGGATTTCGGCTATGTAGGGTATCTGAATGTGGTGGAGTGGGACATGTGGGGTAGCCCGAAGGCCAGATGGTTGCAGTCGCGAAGCGACTGTAACCATCTGGTTAACTACATACCTAAACGATACCTTCCTTCCTGATGGCTTCAGATACCCCCCCCCCCCATAGCCGAAACCCCCCTTAAAAACTACTGAGATTCCATCCCGATACTTTAAATAATTTAAATAATAAACCAGGGTTGAAAAGCCGCTTCGCGACTTTTCAACCCTGGCCCCGTCTGTTCCGATGATATTCTGTACTTTGCATATTTTTCACGAATCACCCATGCCGAAAAATGAAAAACGTGCCCTTCGGTCCCTTTATATAGGCTTTCGCCACTTCCGGCGCATGCAAATTGCCTCCTAACAAAGAGGGGGACCCGGATTTTCATAAAGATGTAATTTTAATGTCGAAAATAGCATTTTTTGTAAAACCTGATAAGTGTGCAGTCGTGTCATGACCATTACGCACCTTTTGGCGTATCAAACATACCCTTAACTTCCTCGCCTATCGTGATACGACTGGAACATAATGACGGAAGTTGCATGCAAAGTGGCACACACACACACAAACAGTATTTTTTTATATATAGTAGGATTAACATAATTAAAAAGTATTAAAAGTATTAAAGTAACTTCAAAAGCTATTTGGGCGCGGGAAAGGGCCTGGTGAAGAGGGGCCGGGGAAAGGGGCGTGGCCAGCCGAGAGAGGGGCCCCCACTCGTTTTATTAAGGCGCCACTTTCAAAGTTAATTTTAATAATTTTAAAACTTTTTCATAATTTTTTTTATCAGTTTTGGGGTTTCTGACCACGCTCTATCCGAATCCGAAGAGACCTAAGCTCTAGCTCCTTTCCCCTTCGAGTTGAATTCGGGACCGGACAGACGGACAGACACCACAACTTTTTTATTATAGTTGATTAGTTAGTGACTGCTCTGCTCAAAACTGCTCAAAATACGGTGAACATACTTTATATAATAATTAACGCATAAGTACAGGCGAAAAATGAAAATTCGCTTCCCATGATAAACATAAGAGATCGGTTTAGTATGTCGAATCTTTCCGTGGTCGATTACTCTCACCAAAAATTTTGGACTTTGGAAAATTTTTGAAACATTTTTGTACTAAATTTCTTTCGAGCTGCCAATTTGTATTTCACAATATTTAACTTTTTTTTTGGATTGTCATATCGTCAATTTACATAGTCGGTATCATTTTATGATTTAGCAACAGAGGAAGTAGATCAGTTCTCCGGTTTTTAATCAGTTGTAGATGTCAGAATTCATGCGTTCGACTAAATGTTTCAGTTAACAATTCTAAGGAAAACGGGGACGGATGGGTAATTCGGGGTTGAAAGGATCTGCTAAACATTTTTCTCGATTTTTTTTTTCATTAATTTGCTTGTTTAATGACTTTCTTAGCATTACTGAGTTTTTCGCCATTCAAAATGTTTCACTTTTTTGCGTATTTTAGTATTTTTATCCAATTCCAATGCACCTAGCGTAGGACCGGTGGGATAGCGATAAGCGAGAGAGAGAGAGAGAGGGAGAGAGAGACAGCGAGACGAGAGTGAACGATAGTGAGAGGAAAAGAGAGCTAGAAAATGCCTTTTTAGACCCTCTTTTCAGGCTTTCCGGGAATGGGACGGGTACGGTCGTGGAATCCTCCGGTCCGTCAATGACCGTCTTGTTCAGCTCCGATCTTCTCAACACCGACATTGGATTTTATGCCGAATTTACGACGGTTTTGAGTTGGTTTTAAAAAGCTTTTTTATTGCTAATTGTATGTTGCGTAACCGACTGAGACTAGATATTGTTTTCGTTTTTGATAAACGGGATGTTTTAAAACATAGATTTTTACGCTAGTTTTCACTTAAATAAGGAAGGTCGAGTTTTTATGTAGTTTAAAGCATCTTGAAAATTACGGCAAATATCTTATGAAAAACAGAAGAAATGGAAAATGAAAATCGAAGTAATTCCAGCTTACACCGGTCACGGGATTGCCAAAAGTTGTGGTTGTTTTCGTACCCCTAGGCCTGAAACATTATTTTTGAAGGTTTCACATCTTGCGATTTTGTGCAGCTTACACCCTACAAGCAAAAACAACTAAATGGACAGTAGCTGAGGCGTAAAAATTTATTTTGCAACCTCGGATTTCTCGGGTCACCAGATTTTATCAGGTTTTCGTCATCTTTTCGGGATTTTCCTTTCATTCGATGGAGCATCAAAAACAATACAAAAACTAACTTTTAATTTCAGCCAACTACAAATTTTTATTTAATAATACAAAGCAGTATCGATTTTTCGACCAAAATCTCGGTTTTTCTCATTAAAATACAATTGGATTTAACTAAAAACAAAACCTTACCGAATACCGGAGGAAAAATTATAAAAAAAAAATAGGATGGTACTTTCAGAAATAATCGTTTTCAGTAAGCTACAAATACAGCGCAAGCCACGTCTGTCCCCCGGCGCCATTCACAGCCACCGACTCGACGGATTATGTGTATGGGATCGAAACGTCGCCATCGTGGCCGTACGCATATCCAAATAACGCGCTGTGCAACTACTGGATTGGCGTGCCGGATGGGCATAAGGTCGGTGGTGAAGTACAGAAATTTAATCTAGGCCATAACTATCAGCATTGATTGGCTAGCGATGTTGTAAAGACCTACTAATCAGATATAAAGTGTGCTTGTATACTTTTTAGCGATTTGAAGCAACAAAGCTGTCACAAAAAGTCGAAATTTCGCTCAATTGTCTTGGAAGAAATCAACTTTCTATCTAGTATTAACTTTAATCAATTTTTATGCTCAAAAACAAAGGTTAAAAGTTAAAAACAATGTAAAAAAGCATCCGCCATTTTTACAATTTAGGTTTGCGCGGAAAAATTTGCAGCAGCTCACAGCGACAGATTGTAATTACAGATCAAGCTGACGATTGAATCGTTTTGGACGGAAAAGTGCTGCGATAGGCTTTACATCTATGACGGCATCGATCAAAGGGCGACAATGTTGGCTAAGTTGGTTTATTAAATAACAAGTATATTCGGAAATATAATACCAGCGTTTTCGCGCTAGAAAAGACTTTATTACGCGCTGTCTAACCAAAAAAAACTAAATAATATCGATTCTCCAGCCTATCCGGTTCTTACGACGACCTCCCACTCCATACGCTTCATTCGAGCAGCAGCCGGCTCTACCTCCAGTTCAGCACCGATCTGATCAACAACGGGCCCGGCTTTTCATTGCTTTTCGAGCGCGAATGACGGAAGCAACCGTGGCTGTAATAAATTATTAACGTTGAAACATGCATTTGTCATAATACTTTTTAGTAAACTTTATTCGCGAAAAACCGCATCGAAAAACAAGGCCGCAAAACGCGGGGTCTGGGGGGAATTAATTAAATAATTAAATGGCCGTTGAAGAAGACAATGTGAAAATGGGGGATCACAAAAACCAACAACAAATGTTATCATTAGTGGCGAAAGGTTTGCCTTCAACATTTAATTTAATTTAACTAACAAATTAACCCGGTAACAACGCGTAGAATTAGCACAACGGAAGCATAAAACAGGGGCTAGAGCTGCTATTCGGTGGCGACCGCCTTGCCGTCGGTATTCGGCGAGTGCTGGCGCCTTGGAGCAGAGATCTCGTAGCTGTCCTCCAGGGTGTCGGTCCGCACCAAGTATCGATACGCCACCACCACACGGTTCACGCGCACGTCCACGAAGAAGCCGTCCGAGTGGTTCGACAGCTCGTGCGTGAAGTAGCTGGAAAAATGGGTTATAGAACATACTTTCCGAGCACGACAAGCTACCGAAAAGTTTATATGACCAAAAACTCGACGTTTTTTTGCTTTCCCATGGTAAAAAAATGTAATTTAAATATACAATATATAAAATAATGGAACTAAAAAGTGATCAAAATACTCTATAAAAATCAAAGAATTCAAATTTTCCCACTTCTTTTACTTTTTTCCAGAACAAAAAAAAAATAGATTTTTCAAATTTTTCATAATTTTGAGCAACATAAAATGGCACTGGTTTGTTAGCGGGGGGGGGGGGGGGGCAAATTTTTCCCAGTAATCCGGCACCACCCTATAAAATACGAACGTTTTTCGATTGCTACTTTTTGGTCCAGATCTTCGAATTTTCAGAATCTACTAAAAAATTTTTGTAACTGTCTAGCAATCAAAAAGCTACCAATAACGTTAAAAAAACATTATCCCCCGCTAACGGTCCAGTAGCCATAAAATTTCCACAAATTTCACTCACCCCGTCAGGTCGTTGAACTCAATCTTGCACTTTTTGCATTTGGCCGCCTCCGGCATTGACAGGTCGCGGCCGTGGATCTAAAAAGCGTTTAACGACCCGCAGAAAGAAATTACCAATTTCACGCCACCATACATGTAGAGACCGACGCGTTCGATGTCGGCCCGGTGCACGTTGACGCCTAAAAATGGATTACAACTGAGAAGATAAACCGTAAGGTACAAACCTAAAAAGGACATCGAAAAGACAGACGGTCTTTTTTTACGTCCGTTTTGGGGATGTACCTTACTTTGTTTGATTATTTTTAAAGAAATAAGCAAGGCAAGACTATGGATTTTACTGGCTTTGGCTCCTAGGGATCCTAAGCCAACAAAAACCACTCATGCCATGCCCATCCGCGGGTTTGTCGTCACTTTTTTTTGTTTTTATAGCCTACGAAATTTTGTCTGGCCAACACAACAACAGAGATGATGATTTTGGGAACCGACGCCGTACCGGAACTGATCTGTGAAAGTTCAGCATCGAGCCTTTATTAACTTTATCCGGCACAAAATCAACAGCGATAACGCTTTGCGACCCTTGCAAGAGCTGGTATTAGTCAAACCAGATCTACCTTCAACCCTGAAGTGACTTGATTAAGCTCCCAGTTCTGATCACCTATCAAAAGTGCATCTACTCGTGCCTGCATGGATTTGCCTGCCCACAAACGTCGCACAAAGTGCGGACACCCAAAGGTGCCTGGCGTAGTTGGATTGTGGTAACGCTCAGCTCCACTGCACAAGGCTACACTGTGCATTCCAAGCCTGAGGATTCAAACTGTAGAAGTTCTTCCGGATGAAAATCACAGGCACATGGACATTCTTCCCGTTGCCGTATTTCATCAAATTTGTAAATTACCTAGGTTAGCCACAAATTAGCTGCGCTACGGCATCCCTTTCTCCAAGTAGCGAGAGAACCAGCCGTTCGAACACTGCAAAAACACCATATGCAATCCTGTATTGCTGTTTGTCGTCGCATCCCCGCATTAGTTCTTCAAACGGTATAATAAAACTATCAGAACAAAACCGCAAACCATTGTCGGACAAGGACAGAACAAAACCATTGTCGCACAAGGTGCGTGCGAGCAAAGGAGTCCGGTCTAGTTGCATCTCGGCAACGCTGCACCCCACTGCATAATGCAACATTGTGCCACCAGGGCACGACGCTTGCTCGTCGCTGATTTCTCTGAAAAATCGCAGTAACTAGAAATTTTTCAACATCTGTAGTTTATTTACCTCATTGGTTCGCACGTCTGCAACGTCGCCATCCAGAGTTATTGATAACCGGAAAATTTGGTTGATTGCTAACCGCCAAAATGACGATTAACGACTTTTTCCGCCGTTCCTGCTGTGCGTGTAACGGAGATAATCGTATTTTTCTTTTATCCCCGGATCGGGTTGATTTACGGAGTGTAACGGCGTGAATGCCAATAAGTGTTTGAATTGTCTATTGGTTCTCTATTTTCTTCTTTGATTCGATTGATTTGAGATGATTCGATTCTTCTATTGTTTATGGTTCGGGGTTCCCCAAACATCTCTGCTAGCCTCCCAATTTTCAGGCTGCTCAAAAAGCTCCCGGAGCGATCATGCTTTCTTGAAATGCTTTCTGCCGGTTTCGGATTCTGTTCTGGTTTTGGCGGCCTGCTATCAAAAATCCTGCATGTCTGGCCTCCTAGAACTAAATAGCTCGTAGGTCAGCCCTCGCAGATCTTCAAATACAAATTGAGCGGTCGGTATCCCATGAAAAACAACAATCAATCACACAGAGCTGTTGCGTTGGCCAAACAAAAACATCGGACATTTACTTTCTCAAATTCGAACGAGACGACAATTATTATTTCTAGGACATGTGAAACTGCGTACGGTGTAGGAGCAGCTTGACGTCGTCGCTAAAGTGGGCCTTGCAGAGGCTGCACTCGAGTGTCTGCGACGGCGCCGGCTCTCCGCTTCCGCCTCGAATCTTCGAAGCGGAGTCAGTGCTGATTTTCGGGTTGGTGGAGGCGCTGGAGATAGCGGAGGCACTCTTGACTTCATCCTTGACGGCAATCGAGGGCAAGGTGCCGGCGGACGCCTGAAATAGAGCCTTGGATGGTGCTAAAGTGTATTGAGAAAACAGAGAACTAGGAAAAGGGCAGAATTTTCCATTAAATCAGGTTCGGTGCGTAGCGTTTAGCGGCGAGGGGAATTTCGCGTTATTTCACGATCTTTACTTTTCCGCCCGGCCCGTAATAAAATCGTTTTTTTATCGCGATTTTAATTGCCTTGATTGCCAGAAAACAAAAAATTACAAAACTGACATTTTTACTCCTTTTTGACACATTGTTGATCCAAAAATCAAGAATCTTCGAAATTTTATAATTTTTAGCAGTTTTTCATATCTAGAATCTTGTAAAATACAGCAAAAATTCTTTAGCTTTTGTTATAGGGCAGTAAGAAACTACTGGGAGAAAATCCGTCTTGCTAAACGGTAACCCCTAAACCCTTCGATTCTTTGAAAACATCGAGCAAGTTTGAAAATTCCGGAAGAATAAGACAAAAAAAGACCAAATATTGGTGTTAAAAATTTGCAAAGCACACAAACCAAACCAAAGCTCTTCAAAAAATTAACCTCGGTTCCCGACGAGGCGGCTTCAGATTTCATGAGCGGCAGCTCAACTCCTGGCAACGGTGGAACTTGCGAAGTGCCCGGAGTAGTGATTTCCTACAAAAGCCAAAATACTCCCTCTCAGTAAAGCAAACGATACGAAATCAAATTGGCCGAAAGAGACCAAAATTCCAAAAGCAAATAACGACCTTAATATTTTGAGACGGCTGGGATGGCAATTCAGTGCGACTCGGCGACTTCGGGACGTTTTGTGGCGGGGTGTCGGCCTAAATCACAATAAAATTACAATTCCCATAAATTACCGCGCTAGATGGCGAGTCAGGGCTGAGCGGCGGGCCGAACAGCTCGCTAATCTGGTCGGCGCTGAACTTCATGCACTTCTCGGTGGTCGGTGTCGAGAGAGGGGGTGCTTTTCCTGAAAATGAACGTAGAATCGGGACTTTCACAGTGATTTATGATACAAAACGAACAGCCCATAAAAATTTCTGAAAAGCAAGGGGCCTCAAATCCAATTAAAACCGACTTTTGAGTGCACCTGCGCCGGACGGGCGCCTAGAACCGGTTGCAGTCGCGGCGGCGCGAGGAGCTGCTTTTGTATTGGCCGGCGGGACCGGCGTCGCAGGCTTCGAGGCGCGGCGCTTCTCGGCTTGGATGTTTTTCTAAAATGAGATTTAGGAGGGTTAGAAGACGGTATTTATAAAAAAGTCTAGGCTTGCGTCGCAGAAATGCTGGTCACCACGCGAATCCTCAAAAACCCGATTTTGTCAGAAAAAAAAATGAAATAAAAATCACCTCTTTCTCCACCTCGGCCTCATACAGCTGAATGGCCAGCGAAGCCCATTGATGATCGAGAAGATGCTTCTGAATCAAGGTATAAAAGTCTTTGAAAAATGTTTAACCTGGTAATCATCCAACGAATAGTGCATCACGCCGCAAAAGTAGCAGAGAAAGTGACGAACCTCGGACGGATCGCATTGGCGAATCTTTTTCCAGCTAAAAATCAGGTTTACAAAGCAAAAAAAACGAGCTTACTCGCTAGACATGGTTGTCAGCTCGCAGAAGAAGCAGCTCACGTGAGAAGCCCGTCGAGTGCCGCTATCTGAAAATATTCATTCGGTAATTCGCTGAGTACACTGCATCGTTTCGAGAAAGAGAGAGAAAACCGGTAAATGAGCAAATGGTTATCACAAATTGGGCGAACCGGCAAGAAATCAGTAAAAGTCAAGTTTGGAAAGCTCGTAAACTACGCGAAAATGAAAAAAATCTATGGAAGATTAACAACTTGCACATCGTCAAAAGTATCATTAAACGGAACCATCGCGTCAGGGGTGTGAACTTCTTCTGTGTCGTTTTCGATGGGTTCATCGCTCTCCGTTTTTTCGCTTGCCGGTTCTTCGGGCTCTTTTTCACCCGCATCCGCTTTATCTGCCACGGCTTCCTCAGCCGGCCTCGGGCACACTTCGACCCGTTTCCACCGCGTCAAGTCCCGACAAATCGCCCGCAATTCGTTCGGTCCGTACAACTGTGCAATCTTCTCGATTTGCTCATTCTGCGCCGGGTTCCATTCAACCTTGGCCGAGTAAATATAGCGGACCCATTCGCGCAGGATTTCGAGCGGTAGATCGACGTCAATCTCCTGACAATCCGGCGGTTTTCCGCTCAATATTGTCGTCCGTCGCTTCAGAATCTCGCGTATCACGAACAGAAACCCGCCTCCTTTGCTCACAAGCTTGACCGGCATCACCGCGAGCGGGTCGGTGGCGTCGGCTAACCCGCCAAAATCCGCCGATAGCTGTTGTAAACGCTCCGCTTTTCGGTATAGCTTGTCAATGTGCTCGCCATGCTTTCTTGTGACTTCCTGTTGCTCGAGTGAATGAAAGGGCTCGGATATCGTCCGCTGCTTCACCGTTCTCACTTTGAAGAGCTCGACGAACCGGGCGCACACCTCGAACGTTTGCTTACAGGCGCAGCTCTCCGGCGTGAAGGCGATCACATCGTAACTTCGCCGTTTTCGGCACCTTCTCGATATTTCGGACACGATCGTGAATTGCGGAGCATTGGAGGTGGAAGGGACCGGGGCGAATTCGGCTTCTTCATTATTTTCTTTCTCGTCACTCCTGCTCGTGCTGGCTGATAGAGCTTTTGCAAGTTGTAGTTGTTCATCATCCAAACTGCGTGGTGCCCCGGTCAACGGCTTCGATTTCACCTCCTTCTTGACCGGCGCCTTTGCCCGTGTATGGGTCAAATTGTTTTCCTTTCTGACGTCAGCCACTTTCTTTTGGGCATCGACCAGCTTTACCGCAGTGGACGCCGGGATCGAGTGTTCTTTGGCGCACTGTTTGAGGTGAGTGATCCGAAACGGCCCTTCTTGCAAAGGCTTCCGACACAACGGGCAGTCGAACGTTGACGCGTGCTTTTCCTTCGCCTTCGTGAAATTGGCTTTCGCCTCCTCGTCATCAAGACATTTGTTGATGTGGTGAACACGCCGCAGGTCGTTCAGGTGCTTCAGGTCCTTCCGGCAGATCGGACACCCCTTGAAAAAAAACAATTTTTTCAATTAAGGCTGAAATTTGTAAGTCTCACCTGTGCTGATGGCGGTGGCTTCGGTTTAGAGCTGATGATAAAATCCTCGTCATCGCTGGCCCGTTTTCGCACTTTTGACGGAATCGGGTCACCCTCCTCAAACATCGATGGCTTCTTCATCGGGGGCGGTCGCAGCCGGGAGCCTAAAAATAAGAAATTAGCGTTTATCACCTAGCGAGAAAAAAGCTATTACTCAAAAACCAACCGGCTTCTCCTTTGAGGGCGGCGTCATGCCGAATTCCAGGAAGACGTTATCATCATCGTCGTCCTCGATGATTGGGTCGAACTTGAGCGCTGTCGACAGCGGCGCTTTCTTCGTTTTTGTCGGCGTCTTTTTGCTCATCCGGGGCGCTGAGCTGAATGAATGATTTGCAAACATAAAATAAGATAAATGCGTTATAAAAGAGTTATAAAATTGATTGAAATAAAATTTACAAGAAAAATAGGTAAAAATACAAAGAATTCACAGCGGAAACAGCAATGCAAGGAAGGGATTAGGCGCTGAAATTACTTCTGGCATGGGGGTACGGTAAAAAAGACTGGAGGGCGCGCCATAGAAAATGGGCCACGCCAGTCGCACGCGATGCTGGCCAGAATTCAGGCTAGAAGTTAAAATTCTGAGCTAAATCAAACTTTTTATGGTTTAAAAATCGCATTTGGCGGTGTCGCGACACTTTTCTCTATATTTTGCTTCGCTACGGGCCTAATTGCTGGCTTTATAGGCAAATATGGGTTTTATCAAGAAAATATGAGCTCGGGGGGGAAAAACAAGTCTCATATTCAGAATCTACGCAGAAAACTACCTTTATTCGAGATCTTTTATGCCGGAAACGAGCCTGAAGTTCACTTAAATACTTAACTTTTAACCTCGAAAACTTCCAACCCTATAAGCTCTAAAAATCAAACTACGATTTCCATGATTTTGTGCGCAAAAGATGCGCCGTGTGTTCTTCTACAAATCGTATAATCGCAAATTTGCTAATAACGTCGAAATTTTTTAAAATCGGCTTTTTAACGCAATCCCCAGCTTATTTTCGGGGCCCCCTTCCGGCTCCCCTTGACAGACAGCCCCGTCGTTGACAGACTGCGCCCTAATGTGGTGTCCCAGCCACCGTACCCCCAGCCACCCGCCAGGCCACATAAATAGAGACGCAGCGATTTTCGGCGTTACGCTGCCAAATCCTTCGTTGCAGTTTTAAGTAAGGGTGTATCGGCTGTGAATTAAAATCGAAACTCGATCCCGAAGCAATACTATGTACAATTTCGTCTCGGGACCCCGGCATTCGCCCTGCTGCTGAATAAATTTTCTTTTTCTTGGAGAACTCGGGAAGAGAACAAGAATTCTGAATTTTCGTTTTTCCACTATAAATTTCTAAAACGCCCGTTTAGATTTATTAAATTCACCCTTACGCAATAGCAGGTTCAAACGAAATGCAGAATGACATAGGCGAGGGCTTTAAAATAATAAAATTTGGCGTAATTCGGTTTCCGAGAATAGAAGACAGTTTTTCGCTAAGCCAATGTTGTTTTCGCGCCCGTCAGTGGACTCCTCTGCACACTGGGGGGCATTGGGCGCGAAAATGGGGGCCACAAACATCTGACCGAGGGAAGAGCCCGGCCAGGTTCTAACAAGAAATAAAAACTTGTTTTCTGGATTTTGAAACGCATAAAGTGCTCGTTGTCTCTCTTTTTCTGTTGCTGATCGTTTTCCACGCTTAAATACCACTTTCAGATGGCCGGGGAGTTTCGGACAAACCTCGGTTCGTTCTGCAGAAATTTCGGGACAATCACGAAGCCGGTGGCCGATGATTGGTGGGTAATTTATGCGTATTATGAGGGCTAATGAGTTAAACTTAACCGTCTGAAGCGGAAAATGACTGGGTTTTTTTAGCACGCGTTTTGGGTTTTTAGGTTTGTAAGTTTTTGCATGTAATATAGCTCATTCGATAGAGCTTGAAATGCTTAGCAAGTTCCAAAACTGCTGAACGCTAACCGGCTTCGAGGAAAAGTGTCTAGAAGTTTACATTTCGTTGAGAGGGGAATTGATTCTTTCAGAACAAATTTTCTCCGAGCATAAAGTCGTACTGAAATTTTTGAGCGCTCGGATTTGCTCCAATTTCAAGCTCTAAAACATCTAAAAGCTTCATGATCACCTAAAAACCATTCCATGTGAGCACAAGTCTAAGAAATAGCTCGCTTCATTGGCTAAAAACTTTTTTTAGGCTCAGCGTCAACTTTGCGAATTACAAGGACATTGTCGAGACGCTCGAAGAAGAGTACACCAATGGGTCGCTGATGCACGAGATTGAAGCCCGTTCGTTTAGCGCAAAATTTTGGCAAACTTGTTTAGTGCTCGAGGATCTGCAGGGCATCGACATGAAGGAATTCACCCGTGAATTCTGGAAAGAGATGAAGGATGGTGAAGGCCTAGAGCCGCTCGTCATCTCGGCCATCCTCTGGATCCTCATTGAGACGGCCGCAGAAAAGCACAGGTATATTTCTAGCCGGGAAAGAGACGTCAAGCTGAGACAAGAGAGAAACGTTGAAGTTGACTATCCTATCCCTGTCCGTTAGTGAAAGGCTGAAAACAATTTTGTGCTCCTGCTCTTGTAAAAACCGTAATTCCAACTCTCTTACTGGCTACGCCGTTTTTAAGTTTAGAAACATCGCCTACATTAATATTTAGCCAATAAATTAGGAGTTTTTTTGTTCATGGTATCAAAATTGGCTTACGATATCCAAAGTTTGCAATTGTTTATTATTTTTAAACATTTTGGCCAACTTTTACGAAGTCAGAAGCCACAGAGACAACTTGAAAACTACATACTTTTATATCCTGCCGAGGCTAACAGACATCAACCGACGATCCCATTCGATTTTCCACTTTCAGCAAAGAAGACGCGTTCCGGACCGGCTGCGCGGCGGCATCACTCTACATGCGGTTGAGCTCGATTGACGGGGCCGCCGTCAGGAACTTCATGCACGGCGCAATCACACAGGTTCGTTGCAGCAGCTACCTTCAAGGGAAAGCAAAAGCAAAAAAAAATTTTAGTTTTCGAGGCCGTTTTAAAATTGGGTTTTTTTTGCGGTCCGAGCAAACTTTCCTCTTCCTGAAAAGGGGCCGAAGTTACTGTTAATCAGAAAAAGTAGCGGCTCCTGATTGTTTTTGGATTCGTAATAAATTTTTTTAATGGTTTTGGTTCTTTAGGATTCCCGGGGGGGGAAAGTATTCCCGGGGGGGGAAAACAAATTTTTTTCGGCGAAAGCCTAGATTTTTGTATAAATTGCGGATGCGTTTCTAAATTGTTTTTAACTATCCCTGTGCATAAAAACTACACACATTTTAACCAAAAAAATGTAAAAAATTAAAAATTAGGTCGAAAAATAGACCCAAAATGACCAAATTTTCGACTTTTTCAAACATTTTTCTAAATTTTTCTGAAAGTTATTCTGCTTTAAATATAGTTAAAACTTACTAAAAACAATTCGAAAACACTTTATATTTGATTACTAGGTCAACCGGGACCACCAGGAAAAAAATTGGTTTCCCCGGGAATACTTTCCCCCCCCGGGAATCCTAAAGAACCATGGTTTTTATTACATCTTTTTTTCAGCAAGTGCTGGCCGTCTGGCGAGATGCCTTCCGTGTCGTGATATTCGGCGTTCGTGACCTGGCCACGATGGTCGTCGCCGTCGATGTGAAGGGCGGACGCGGGAAGGGGCGCAAGCGCAAGAAGGACCTCGATTTGACGGATGCCATCGGTAACAATTTTGTATGATTTTTACGCCTAGTTTTCAGACCGCCCAGAAAGCTACATCCAGAATTCGGTGGCGGTCAAAGTGCTGGAGGAGTCGACGTGCGTGCTGCTCCTGTTTTTGGGAAAGTAAGGGTAGTATTTACAGCTAATTTTCTCTTGTTAGGGTCGACCTCAACAACTCGAGCACAATTGCCGAGGCGATCGCCGACTATGTGCGCGATTTGGCGCGCATCGATTATGACGAGACGGCGAAAGAAGATTTTCGAGTGAAGGTATATAGAGCATTTTTGGGTGCTTCCGTGTTCGGAAATTCCGACCACCAAAAACTCCTACAGATTTCGTTAGAACATTTTTACAATCTGAATTTTTTGGTGGAGCTTGTTCATTGTCCTACAAAAACAACTTTCGTGAAACAGTTAGTTAGATATTTGAAAAAGCCAAATTAAATTTACATTAATAACTTTTTGAAATCTTGGCGACTCCCAGATGAAAATTGTTTAAATTTAGTTTATTTGGTCCACGAGCTCCCACGGAAAAGTTTGCCCTCGCCCTGTTAACACGAAAGCACCGTATTTTTCTTGTATTTTTATCGCAACTTGTGAAATTAGAGGAAACATAAAACAATTCCTTTCAGCCCGTCGAGACAACACGCGACATGGCACGCACGGCCCGAATGGTCAACCGCTCGTTTGCCCTGGCGCATGCCCTCTGTGACCCGCGACATTCCGACGATTATTCACTGGTAATAATTCCATGGCTACACCAGTTCAATCGAATTTTTAGGTCTATGAGCGCATCGTGCAGCCGCGCCTTCTGGCCACCGATCCGGACAACAACCCGTACAACATCTCCATCCCCACGGCTGCCATCACCCTCGCGCAGGCCACGCTTAACTTTGTCAAGCTGCGCATGGAGGACGCCGACGAGAAGGAGCAGAACATTTTTTATGAGGTACTTATGGTTGTCTAGCAGAATCTCGAAAATTGGAATCGTCTCTAGGCCCGTTTGCGATCGTAATGTCGAAATTCAGATTGTCGGAGTTTTGTGCATCGGGATTGGGGATTTTCGAGATATTTGTTCAAATAGGGTTGTTTTAAAATATTGAAAATCATAATGTCGAGATCTCAAATTTCATGATTTCGAGATTCACGGAAGCAAATCTCTTAGGAAAACCCCCGAAATTCTATGCAAAATTTTCAGCATTTTGTAATTTCGATATCCTGAAATGGCGACTCTTTGAATTTCAGAATTCTTAAATTTGGACATTATGATAGCTCGACATTTCGGTCTCTTCGGCATTACGAAATCTCTAGGTTATGAAGTTCGGTATTTTCAAAGTAACGCTCTTAGACCCCGTGGAAATTTGACGTTTCTGGAAGGTTGAAATGATTTCAAGCGGAGAATATCCCTAGGATTTCACTAACCTTCTTTTTCTAGCTCCTCATCGCCTTGATCATGCGCGCCGACCCGCGAGCCCACTACCGCGAATTTTTGCCGGGCACCATCTTGCTGGAGCTGGTCAAGCTGCTGCCGGACGAGAAAGTTTTTGTAAGCACACGCTGCGTTTCTTATCACTAACAACTTTTTAGGCGTTGCGCAAAATGCTGCTCATCCTCTCGCGACGCCCGAAGATCAACGTGACGGCGATGGCGGTTTGCTACGAGATGATTCGGTCCAAATTTTTCGGTGAGTTTTCGAGGGCGGTATCGAATCGCTATTTTTTTTCTCTTTCTTTGTTGCTATCGCTAGACACTGCATTTCGACAGAAAAACGGCTATGAAAACCTGGGAAAATGTTTGAAACTCGAGATTTCCTAGAAGACGATATTTTTGGTAGTCGAACCGAGTTTTAGAATTTGACCAATATCGACTTTTTAGACTGGAGCAAACCCGACCCGGACTACGAGAAGTACGTCGCCGAGCAGGCTGAACGCAACGAGCGCAAAAACGCGACCATGTTCGACCGGAGCGACGCGGAAAACGAGAGCCGCGACGAGGCCGAAGTGTCCGAGGATGAGGGCGAGGTGGCACGGAAGAAGAAGGCCAAGAGGAAGTCGATGCAAGCCGATGCTCTCAATGTACGCATTTTGGTGATTTGCTATCAGGATGTCGAAATTTCAAAATCTCTGGATCTGTCAGCGGCCAATTTACGCGGAAATCGCCTATGACAAAAAAAATATGAAAAATCAATTCGCGCGTCTTTATACAAAATTGGATCTTAATCAAACGCCCCGAAAGAAAAAGCCCTGAAAAAATGCCGATTTTTTGAAGATTGTCTTTTCATCGAAATTAATCGCTTTTTTTCAGAAAGACGCCAGCTTCCGCGAGGAGGACGGGGCCAAGAAGCAGAAACGTGTCAAGAAAAAGAAGGCGCACAAGAATCCCTATTTCCCGAGGGGCGATGCGGTATTTTTTGCATTTTTTTTCTTTATTTTTGGGCTTAGATACTGTACCGCATCCTCGTCGAGGCGCTGATCTACCAGACGGCCAACGTTCGCTCCCGTGCCCTCCTGCTCATCGGCCAATTGATGCAAACCGCCGAATTTCTGCCCGGATTGCGGGATGCGGCCCATGATGTGGTAAGGGATTTCGTCCTGATTTTTCTCATGTTTTAGCTGCAAAATTCGGTCCTGAAATAGGTTTTGATTTTTTTAATATAGAAGGGGGGTTTTGTGGACTGTTTCTTATATCCTTACATGTAAATTGTTAGATGTAAAAGCTGCGCAAATTTTTATTAAAATCCAGAAAAAGACGATTTCTCGGCTGAAATTGAAATTTTTCGAGCGCTTTCCTGTCTTTTAAAGCCGTTTTTTTCATTTCGTTTATAACTATAGTTATATTTGACCGAAAATCTAATTGAGCTCCTTGCTGTGCTGTTACTAGGCATAGCTGTACATATAGGGCAAAAGCGGAACACTGAAGATTACTGAACTAAGCTAAATTCACAAAAAAAAATTACAAAAAATCCAGTTGTTAAAAACCGATTTTCCTATCGGAATTCCATTTTTTTTCCTCAGATGGCTCGTTTTTTCGTTTTTGGCGGGCCGTATTCATGACAATTTGTTACGATTTGCACGAACATCTCTCGTTTTCAGATTTTCGTGTTATCCATGGACGAGCAGACGCTGTACGACGAGGGGAGCAAGCCTAGCCAAAATATGTTCGCCGAGGACTCGCTCTTCAAGCTGTTGCTGAACGGGGCACGCGATGAATATGTACGTCCCTTCTGGTTTTTCAAATTGTCCATTTTTCTAGGCCGACGTCCGTCAAAAGTGTCTGGGCTGCCTCGAGCGCTACCTGCCCCACGTCGCCGATCTGCACGCCTTCTCGCTGGGACTGCATTTTATGCAGGTAATTTCGGTTGTCGCTGTAGAAAAAATTTATTAGAATTTTCTAGCAATTTTTCTTTCGTGAAAACTGTCAAAATGTCAAAATTTATTATTCTTTAAACGTGCTTTGTGATTTTTTAGTGATCCGAATCGTCAAAAACACTTTAAAAACACGCTAGAAAATGCTAAAAAATTTCGCGAGGTATGTGAGCCTCCCCCGCTAACGGTCTTAATTTTAACGTAACGTATTTTTCAATGTTTTGGTTTTTTTGCATTAGTGAAAAGTGTAAAATCAATAAAAAATTGAATTCTGGTCTGTTGCTCACATTTTTTAGCCAAGAATCCACCTCATTTTTCAGCGCCTATGCCTCGATGGACAAGCCAGTGTGCGCAAGACCGCCTCGACGTCGATGACCACCCTCCTGTCGGCGCTGGAAGAGGGCTCGGTTCAATGGTACGCCTATACCTTATTTTTCGAAAATGTCCCTATTTTAGGCATAAAGTGGCCAATTCCTGGGTGTCAAGCGTGTTCCCGATGATCGGCGACGCCGACGCGAAGATGGCCGAACGCGTGGCCAGCCTCATCTTGGTGCGCTTTATTCGGGCAGTGTTATTGTTGATTTTTAGGAGCTCGTCTTCGAACCGCTGCTCGAGGCCACCGACAACGAGGTGGGCGGGCTGGCCGCCGAAGTGCTGAAGCGGATCGCTCCCGGATCGAGCAATCGCGCCGATCTCATCAGGGCCCTTCAAGGTATCTATGTTTGACGTTTTGCGGACTCTTTCATATTACCAGGGTTTCGATTAAGCTCCAATTTTTTCCGAATGCATCAGAAAAAGTGTTTTTAAACTTTTGTAATTTCCTAAACATAACAACCCTACGATTTTTATGAAAACTACAAAACTATCCGTTGTCTATTGAAATTTAATTTTTAGGATGTTTTTAAGAGATTTTTATGGTTGTTTTTCTGTTTTCTAGATTGAAATTTGCTATTTGCTAAGATTACTGCGACGTTTTCTTAAGGCCCGTTTTTCTAATAGAACATACGAAGTGTATCTAAATTTTTGCGATTTCCTAAACGTAGAAATCCGAATTTTATTAAACATACAAAACTATTGGTTTTTACCCAATTTTATCTTGTAGGTGTTTTTCTCGCTTGAGATTTGGTGAAATTTTACTAAAAACACAAATTAAATTCTTTATTGGCATATTACCAGGCGGATCTTTGACGTATAGGCGCCCCCCGTTAATGCATATGATCCAGAGTATTACTTTTCAGTAGAGCCACGGATTCATCTTCTGAATTTCAGCCCAAGCTTCCCAAAACAAGCTGCACCAGAACGTCGTGCACAACCTGCAGAAACGGCTGGCGAAGGTGCAAAACGAGAACCTGTGGACCCTGTACGATTGCCTCGTCCGCGTGTTTCCGGTGGGTCGATTCATTCCTTTACGTTACGTTTGCCTCTTTTAGAACGCGATTGACCCGAATTTCATCACGCAGAAGTGGTTCGAGTACACGAAGGCGCCGCGGCCGCTCAACGAGTGGACGCCGATGACGACTATCCCGAGCGGAACAACGGTGATTTTTTTGAAGGGGGTAGAAAACAAAAGTTCGGATTTTGCAGCGGTCAAACCTTGCGCATGATTTTTTTTAGCTTCCGAGCGCTTTCGAAAAGCCCTAGAAATATTTAGAAAAACTAAATGCCTTTCGGGAAAAATTGACAGTTTTCGCGGACGGGTATTACATATCGTAAAGCCTTCTATTACTGCCGTTTTCATCAATCTCGGCGAATTTTGATAATTATCACAGCGAAATGATCAAGATTGCCTAGAATTCCAGTAATAACGTCAGAATTTGCCAATCCATGCGTACTGGGCAACGGAATTGCTGTTGTTATTCGCGTACTTTTTGGCTACTTTAATTTAATGTTTCAGGCGCACGTCCTGCTCAACGTGATGCGCATCGGGCAGCAGAAGTTTGACGAGAAACAGCGCCAGCGGCTCGTCGACAATTTCCAAGAGCACATTCGCGCTTACACGTCCGTTTTTGTTTCGGTTAATAAACGACCCAAAAATTAGTCTGGTTTTAAGCTGATCTTGAATTTTAACCCTAAAAAAATCTCATTTTAGGGTTCCGACGCAGGTGATCGGCGCGCTCTGGTTGACGATGGCCTCTCTCTGCGACCACCAGCCCAACGGCGTCACCGACAAGCCGAGCCAACGCATCTTGGAGTGGGTTTTTTGCCATTAAAATTACCATTTTTCTAGCTTCTCCTCGGAGACGTATCGCTTCGCCCTGGGCGTCTTTGGGTACATCTGGAAGATGCCGATGGACGAATTCCACAAGACGATGCCCTATCTCAAGCACGCCGACATCGATTATGTGTAAGTTTTTCGGTGCTTGTTCGTTAGCGGGGGGTACAACGTTTTTTAGCTATCTCTAGGCGTATCATTATAAAAAAAAGACTACTTTTTAATAGTTTTATGCCCTTTTAGCCAAAAAGTTTCGGGCCTTCTGATTTATAATTTTTTATTTAACTTTAGGATTCTAACTGTATTAAAATATTGCGAAAATTTTGACTTTCAGATCATTCTTAGAAATTTTAAATTTTATAAAAATCTGCTGTAATTTTTGAATAAGCGGAAACTATATATTGAGTTTTTTTTTTTCAGCGAAACATTCCTGAAGCGCATGATCACGAACACCGGGGTGGCCGTGCAGTACAACTTCAAGCTCATCTACCTGATCGACCAGGGTAAGCGATCTATTTTTTTTCTATAAAATGTTTTAGACACGATCGGCGATATCCGGGAAGAGCCGTTGCTGCTCTCGTATCTGCTCAAAATCACCACCTCCTGCCTGTCGGACATGCGCTTCGGGCTGCTGACCGACCGGAAGAAGATCAAGGTAGCGGATTTTCGGCGTTATCTGATCCTTTTCTCTCTATCTCTCTTTCTCTCTCTCTCTCTCTCTCTCTCTCTCTCTCTCTCTCTCTCTCCCTCTCTCTCTTTTTCGCTCTGTCTGTTTCTCTCTCTCTGGCTCTCTCTCGCCTTCTCTCTCTCTCCATACAATTTACCCCTTTTCAGCTCGACAACGGCCCTCATCCATTCGGCTTCCCACCAAAGGGCAAAGACGGCCAGTGGACGGTGTGTGCCGAGTGGCAAAAGCAGCGCTTCGCGTATTCTGGTATTATCGCTATTTTTTGTTGATTCTATGTTATTTTTCAGACGTCATCCTGGGCTTCTCGGTGGAGTCGACGTTTTCGGACCGAATTCGAGCGGCCGCTGCGTTGGCGCTTGGGTCGCACTGCATTCTCGACAGCGAGCTGGCCCGTGTCATCATCCCGGAGCTGAAGACTACGCTGCTCAACGATGTCGACGCGATCAGGGCGAACCTGCTGGTGCCGTGCTGCGATATTATGAAAAGGTAAAACTGTACGTCTATCTCTCTCTGTCTCTCTCTCTCTCTCGGGGCGGGAGAGAGACAGAGAGGCAATTAGACGGATAGATAGATTACCCTGGTGTTTGAAAGAGTTTAATTGTTGTTTAAACCTACGAATTTTCACAAATTTTACTAACATAACGCGATTTGATAGGGCGTTAAAAGTAAACTAAGCGTTTCTATTTTGGCTATTTTTACACATTATTTATACCATTTTTCCAGATTCCCCGTGGCCGAGACGCACGACCTGCCGGGCACGATCGCCGTGCTTCTCGTCGACCCACATCCGATGATTCGACTCCAGTGCTTGGAGATGGTCACCCATCTGCTGAAGGAGCAGTATCTGAAATGGGAGGGCCCGGTGAGCTCTTGATTCATATTTTTAAAAATTTTTGACCATTCTGTTTCTGACTTCACCGTTTTCAGATCATGCACCTCTACCTAGCGCTGTGCATCGACAAGAACCTGGAGACGTCCTCCTACGCCCAGGATGCACTAATTGTTAGTGACTGCATTTCTTACTAGAATTTTTGTGAATCTAGAATGCCCTTCTTCCGCTCGACAAGGACATGCTGTACGCCAACTACATGGAATATCTCCTGTTCTACAACAATGCGCCATTCAAATGGAATGACAGTACGCATTTTTTACTTTTCCAAAAGGGAAGCAAATTTTTCTAGGGCGCTATTTTTTGTAAAATGTCTGGGAATTCTGTATTATTGCCTAGCGTAAAAACTTACAAATGATCTTTGCAAAATGCAGAAAAAATCAAAGTCGACAAAAATTGCGTTTTTGGAAATTTAATTGTATTAGTAACTTTTTAAGTAGAGCTTAGTCGTATCTGGATCCCCGCTAGACCCCCCCCCCCCCCGATAATGCGTAATATCCTGACACTTTAACCACCTACTTTTCCAGAGGAAGGGCTGGTGAGCGCACGGCGGCGTCAAGTGCGCGTGGACGGCATCGGCGCCGAGATGCAGCGGTACAACTGGCGGCAGACGCTGCTTCGATTCGTCGTACGTCTTCCGCTCTTTTCGGCTTCATTTCCCTTTAGCTATCGACATTCACGGACGTTCAACGATTCGGTACGATGGTGCGAATTTGCGAGGATATCCTGCTGCGTGTCGCCAACAAGGCCCTCGATATCAAGGACGACTGCATCGACCGGCTCACCATGGATTGCCTCGAGCTTTTCATATGTAGGCCATTTCCGGGCTTCTTGATTAATTTTTATAGCCGAGGAGATGAGCTTCACCTATTCGATCGGGAAGAAACCGGCGGCCGCCGCGGAGGATGAGGCCGAGGAGGCGCCAGAAGCCCCGGAAAATGTCATGGTACGGAAATTTTGCTTTATTCTAGCGGTACTTTTTTATCGTCGGGGGGAAGGACCGTTTTCTTTAGGACTCAATTTTTCGCCTTGCGCTTTTCGTGTTTTACATTGTTTCTTGCTATTCCGAAACGTACAAAGTTTGCAAATTTCTTTAAATCTATAAAAATATCGATTTTTCGGCGCTTAAGTTTTTAGTATTCAGTTGATTTTTCGGTGTCTTCTAGATAATTTTCCCACTGGAATGATAGTTACATTTCACTAGAAAGTATACGCATCTGGCTGCTACCAGCATTCGACCAACTGCGACAAATTTTATGCTCTTTTTTTAGTCGGCGGCGAAAGAGGGCGTGGTGGAGGCGTATCGACGTGGATTGACCGACAAGATTCTGCCCATCCTCTTCCAACTGCTCACCACATGCGAGCGAGAGCGGGCCGGACGTCATACGCGCAAAATTACGCTCACTATCGCGTAAGTACATTTTCAAAGCATTTTTTGAATCCTGAGCTAGGGCTTTTCTAAGGGTTTTCTTGAGAGCGAATCGAATTTACTGCCGTTAAATACCATTTTCATACATTTTGGACCATTAAATTGGCGTTATTTACTTTCTAAAAACTGCTGAAAATTAGCATAATTGGCGTTTTTGAGACCATTCTTGACCCCCGTTCAAAATTCATTGAAAATCTTAAAATTTTTTGTTTTACATATTTTTTCCAGGATGCTGTGCAAGGATCACCTCGAGCATCTGGAGGACATGCTGCGCGCCCTGCACCCCAACCGAGCCCGCCACATCCTGCACGCGATCCGCGACGACGACGGCTTTGTGAAGCGCGAGATGGCCCTCCGCAAACACGACAAGGAACGCGACAACGCCGAGGAGTTGCGCTTACTCCTCGAAGAGATCCAACGACCCAACGACGGGCTGCTCAAGTCGGCCAAGAAGCCGAAGACGCCAAAGATAAGGCCGCGCAGCCGGATGGCGCAGAACGAGACGACGTACGCCTACGACGGCCAGGCGGAGACGATCGGGGCCGATGGGCTGGTGCTGCTGCGCCAGGCAAGCGAGGCGCCTTCCGAGAATGGACCCCGTGAGTGTTTTGTGGATATTGGTTCTTTGGCATTATGGGGGAGGGCAAAACCTTCCAAAAAACCAAAAGTATGGATTTAGTTCAGAAATTCGGAATTTTTTAAGTTTTTGATAGTTTTTCACTTGAAATTTGGTTGAATTTTGCTCAAAACACTATTAAATATTTACTATTGCTGGAATAGGCATTGCTGAACTAATACAAAACCCCGCCCGTCCTCCGCTCGATAATGCCAAAGAACCTCAGTGTCTTTTTTTTAATTTTAGGCGATTGGGGGATAGCTAGTTTGCAACAATAAATTTTGCTTATTGTTATTGTTAACAATTCATGTTTAGCAATCCCGCTGGCCGTCCCGCTCAGCGACGACGACGATTCGGCCATGGATGCGGATGCAGCGGCGACCGCTTCGACCGCCAACGAGAATCCCGCGCCGGTTGATGCCGATACGGTACTACATTCCCGCAATTAATTTCCATTCTTCTTTTCCAGGCCGAGCCGATGGAGGTTGAAACTTCGCCTCCCGCCGTCAAGGTCGAGCCGGCCGAGGCGACGACTTCTTCAAGTCCGGCAGCTCGAGCCGCCGAATCGACACAGGTGCGTTGTACGGCTTAACGCGATTTTGGTATTGGACTGTTAGCGGGGGGCCTCTGACTTTGGCCCCCTAGCTCCATAGCGTCTCGCATACACACCATTCATTTAGCTTTTGTGCCGTTTTGGGGTATCCAAAATCTAAAATTATTAAAATTGCAAAAAATGGTAGTTTTTGTAAAAACTGTCACCCTTTTGACAGTCTGTTCAAACTCATGTTTGGCTTTCTGGTTATCAAAAATGACTAAAATGACAAAAATACGTTAATTTACAACTTTTTAGGAAACTTCGGCACCGGCTTCAACTCGTCGGTCAACCGCGAGACGCTCGGAGTCGCGGTCCGCGGAGAAGCAGATGGACACGGACGAGTCGACGGGCGACGTGCCGACGGCATCGACCGTGGAGACGATGGTCAAGGAGGAAGAGGCGGAAGAGATGGAGGAGGACGAGCAAGCGCCGCCCGAACAGGAGCAAGAGGATGTGGAAGAGGAGCCACCCGCTCCGGCTGTTGCAGTGAAAGAAGAGGTCGTCGAAGAAGAGCAAGCGGCTGAAGTCGAAGCAGAAGAGCCAATGGACACTGGTACGGTTTATTTAGCGATGTTACCACCTTAGTTCGAAGTTTTGAAATGTAAATTCTACCGACAATTCCATGATGTCGAAAAATTTGACTTTTAAAAACGGAAATTTCGGTATTTTGAGGTTCAGTAATTCGGCATTATAAAATTCGGTATTATGAGACTAGGTGTTTTGAAAATCCGCATTATGAAGATTCGATATCGTCTCATTCAAAATATGACGTTGCCAATCTGCCATTTTCAGAATCGACCGCCGCCACGACCCCAGCGCGGACATCGACCCGTCGCCGGAGTGCCAAGCGAGTTAGTGAAGTGGAGAACACGCCGCCGTCGACGGCTGTCAAGAGCGTGTCGAGCAGTGCATTCGAGGTGCTTTATTTTTTTGACGGCATCAAATTGGCTGTGTTCAGAACGACGAGACGATGTGCCCGGGTGGTCGTCACTTTTCGACACCCAACAAGGACCCCGCCAACTTGGAGCTGACGTTCCCCGGCCTCGACTTCAGCGTGATTCCCAAGGATTCTGGTAAGATTTTGGATCTTATTTTTGGTTCTTCGGCATTATCGGGGGAGACCTAATTTTTTCATAAATTCTGATTTTACTAATCCAAATAGGGCCGGTGGTATAATATTTTACTATCCTTTTTATTAATAAACTTTACAATTTTGATTAAAATCAATTAAAAATTTCAAAACATGGTTTTCGATAAAAATTTCAAAATTTTAAACATTTTCTCCGGTTTCTAGATGGTTTTTCCGCTTTAAATAGAGTTAAATTTACTAACAAATATAGTGCAAATACTACTGATTTCATTACTAGGCATATCTGGACTTTAAAAAAGCAGGACCCCCGATAATGCCAAAGCTCCTTTTTCTCGTTTTTGCCTTTTTCTCCATTATTATTCCGTTGTTTTTCAGAGGTGACCCGAAAGCCACTGCGCAACAACTACGAGTCACTACCCGAGGCCAGCCCCTAATTAATTTATTAACCGTTAAAAATCCCTGGACCCCCCGTTGATTTTCTTTATCCGTTTTCCGTTTGAATTGTCAATGCCTTTGTAATGATAGCGAAATGTTATTGTCTCCAGATTTCACCCCCTCCCCTCATTAAATTTAATTGATTACGATAACACAATTCCCGTTGAATACGATCTTCATTCGCCCGATAAATGTTCAACTATCATTGTACGATGACGCGAATTTTCGAGCTTCTTGGCCTACTACTATTTTTCGCGCGGAGAAAATGTCAGGGCTTTAGGCATTTGGTTTTCTCAGCTGATGGCACAGTCGCGAAGCTCGTTTTTACTAAATTTAATTAGATTTTAGGTGGAAAATGCTCAAAAAAGAATTAGAAATCTTTCAGTTGAAATTTGATCGAAAATTGACGAAAGTCTCTATTGTTTGTATTTTTTATAAAAATTTTGGAAGTGTTTTGGTCTAGGAATAGTAAAAAAAACCGTGTAGAAACATTTCCTTTATTTATTAGATGAAAAAATTGGATTCTTACAAAAAGAGCTTGTTACATTTAACGCGTGTTTTCCCGGTATTTCTTTATGGCTTGAGAAGCTTCGGCACAGTAAGCTTGTTTGACTTGGCATGCCCTGATTAAAAAACCCGTTTAATTCGGGTATTTAATTATATAAAAAAGCGGTGCTCAGTGACTCTTTGTGCGTCCTGCGCCTTTCCTCGTCGATACTACTCTCTCCTTACGGAGTGGATAGTAACTTCTCGGGGCTCCGACGAAAGGTTGGAAAACATCATTGCACCGGGGGAGAGGAGAGAGGTGCCAACACACAGCCTTTGAGTGGACCAGACGGGGGGCGGGCCGGGAAAGAGCGGGGAACATCCAGAGAACGCACAGCAGACCGGGAAAAGCCGGGGAAAAGTAGAGATTTGTGGCTCTAGATGTTTATAATAGATAGCTCTAATACGGTAATATAATTATGGAATAATATAGTCAAAGTTAAAATTATAGAGGGTTTTTATTTTTAATGTCGTACTTTGAAAAATGTGTTTCGCGCCCCGAATTCATTTTGAAAAGTTCCAAAGTCTTATTTTTCACGGGTACGACGTGCGTGTTAAGGATTTATAATGGTTCTAATACTGTAATAAAATTATCGGATAATATTGTAAAAATTAAAATTATGGAGTTTTTTCGATTGTTAACCTCGATGATTTGAAAAATGTGTTTCGAGCGGCCACCATGTTTTTAAAATGTTTGTTTGTGTATTTTTATCAAAACCACTTTGAATAATTTTAGTAATATAGATTATTTTTGAATTTTTAGTATAATGTTTTAATAATGGTTCATGTGCTGTCATAAAAGCGGCGAATAATACAGTAAAATGAAAGTTATAGAGTTTTTGCTATTATTATATTAGGTTCGAAAACGTGTTTCAGGACCGGACAGGTTTTTTTTTTGATACGCTTTATCAGAATTTTCTATATTTTTTGTAAATTTTAATTTTCAATTTTACGTCTAGTTCGCTAGATTAATACGGACTCTAATACGGTAATAAACTCGAAACTACAGTAAACGCTAAAGTTTCGAGTCAGATTTTTTCCACTATTAATTTCGGTTATTTTGAAAAAAATGTGTTTCGGGCCTCGACAAGTTCCTTGAAACGGCTGGGTTAATGATAAAGGCCTAAGTACTGTCGTAAATTTTGACGAATAATGCAGTAAAAGTAAAAGTTTAGGGGTTTTTTTTCTGGTAGTATTGGCTAATGCTTTGAAAAACGTGTTTTGCATCGACGTGAAGTTGTTTGGTGAGATTTGAGACCAATTTTTTTTGTACAATGAGTTTTCACATCCGCTTATTTGCCCCCCCCGTTAAGCAACCTTTGCCGGAAATCAATATTCCGATCTTGCCCGTCCTTTTGTTATGGAATTCAAGAAATTCCAGGCAATAACTACGTGAAAAACGGAATTCCGCGACGCTCCAGATGCCAATTTTCAGATTTGCGATGTAGTGGGGCGGAAGTGGCAGGGACATCATTTCCATCCTCCCGTCACAATTCGTGCTCCGCTAAAAATGGGCGAATTTTACATGAGCGCCGTGCACGCTACCGTAACCCAACGGCAGATGATCGGGATGGCATACGGTCTCGGGGTTACGGTGGCCATTATCGCAAATATGTTGCTGTGGACCGTGCTGAAGGGGATTGGCACAAAAGTATGTTTTACAAATTTGAGGGGATATTTCCGAAAATATATCTTTTAGTTTTTTTAAACCCCCGTATTTATCGACTTCATTTTTCATTTCTCTCTCTCTCTCTCTCTCTCTCTCTCTCTCTCTCTCTCTCTCACTCACTGACTCTTTCTTACTCTCACGCTCACTTTTTCTCTTTCTCTCTCTCTCTCTCTATCTCGCTCTCTCTCACACACGGACTCTTTCTTACTCTCACGCTCTCTCTTTCTCTTTCTCTCCCTCTCACTCACTCTTTCTTACTCTCAAGCTCTCTCTCTTCCTCTCTCTCGCAATCTCTCTCTCTCTTTCTCTTTCCCCCCCCCTCTCTCTATCTCTCTCTCTCTCTCGCTCTCTCTCACTCACACGCTCTCGTTCTCTTTCTCTTTCTCTCTATCGTTTTAAATAGGCCTAGTGAGTAAGTAGGTTCCAAATTTGTGTAGAAGACGAGACAAGAATAGAAAAATTAATCGGATTAGTTAGCATAAATAAATGATGGCGAAAATGTGATTGATATTTTCCTGAAATTCCGCAACGCGTTGAAAATCAATGTTTCACGTCAGTCAAAGAGACATCAGAAAATTCTTACTTAATCTTCAATCAATAACCATGCATTTACCAATCGCTAATCTACTTGTAAACTCATTAAATAATCATTGTGGAATTTACAATTTATCTATAATTTACTATTTGTGAAAGTATGCGTAAATTCGTTTTGTCGAATTGCCATTTTACTGAAACTCGTTTTATCCTAATTTATTCATCGCAAACAAGTTGTAATTTTACCTGCTTTTCGTAAGATAAAACTTCGACAAAATGAATTTGACAAAATAATTTTTGAAATCTAATTTTTAACCAAATGAATTTTGACGTTTTAATTTTCGACCTAGAAAATTGCGAAGAAGGGGAATTACGATACAATGATTTTCGCCAAAATAAAATTTCGTTAAATTAAAATATCGACAAAGCGAAGTTTCGGCAAAATGAAATTTCTGCTAAGTGAATTCTTCAAATTTTCGATAAATTGAAAATGATCTTCGATCCTCTAAAAATTTATTTTTTTAGCAAGCTCGATAGTGAGGAATTTACATAAAAAACATGCAAAAAATTTTCCCGAAATCACAAAGAAGATATAGTGGATTACCACGCCGTAATTAGTCTACTACAACCAATAAAACATAGTTTTTTGCAGCGTGACCACACATTCCAAGGCTCATTCTTCCGCCTCGCCCGCCATTTGATTGTTTGCAATATGGCCAGCGCCATAATCCAGTCGATTGTCGCGATTCCGTATACGGTAACTGGACAACGGGTAGGTTACAGTATCTCTTTGCAACGAAAAAAAAAAAACGAATTTTTCCTATTGGTTTCGAAATCGTTATCGATGAGTATTTGAATAGAATTTTCAGAAAAATTTAAGTATTCTTTAAGTGGTAAGACTATTTATAAGATGCTAAAACTTTGAAAATTCTGAAAAATTCGCAAATTCGCCTTTTTCAATCTTATATTTGCGAGAACAAGAAATTTGTTTCATTGCAAAAAGGCATTTTCAAAAAAATTTTCGATGGAGTAATAGAGATTTAGGAGTAAAAATTAGTAGGCAAGGTCTCATTGCCACGCGGCTTCCCAGGCCCTTGAAAATTTGAAACTAGGGTTTTGTATTTCATTAAAATTATAAAAGGAAAATCGGGCTTCGACTTTGACAGAAAATAGATTGATGATCAAAAAACAATGGTTTAAGGAATCTAAGAATTGGAACCAGAATTTGGAATATCCAGGGATACAAAAATATGTTTCAAATCAGTCAGGTATTTTGACCATGTTGTCCATAATAATAACCAGTGTGCTTTTGGCCTTCCGGTTAATTGGTATTAATATCTCCACAAGCATTTTGCCTTCCACTTCACTTTAACGTGCTTTAAAAATGTAAAATTAAAAGTCAGGGCATTTAAATATTTTAATCTATACGGACTTTCCTTTTGGTTTGGAAATCGTTAGCAATGCAATAGTAGCTATTTTAATCGTTTATTCTGAAAATTTCAGATATCCTTTAGATGGGAAAACTAGCTAAAAGATTCGAAAACTCTGATAATTCTTAAAAAAACATCTTACATCCGCCATGTTCAATCTGATACATGCGAGAAAAAGAAATTTGTTTCATTGCAAAGGTATTTGGAAAAATTTAGGCGAGTAATAGCCAGTGGACCTTCGAAGTAATAATTAGTAAGTACAGTAGCATCGCCATTTGGCTTCCGGGTCCTTTAAAAGTTAAAAATCAGGTTGGCATATTTAAATTATTAAAGGAAAATCGGGCTTTAAATATATTGCAAAATAACCTATTAGGAAGCAATGATTTAAGTAAATCTAAGAATCAGAACGAAAAATTTTAAAAAATCCTGCGCACCAAACATATGTTTTAAATCGGTAAGGTATTTGGTACAATTGTTACAGATTAATAGCGAGTGATCTTTCGTCCGGTAATTTTTCATTAATATCCACAAGCATTTTATCTTTCACATTAAAATGCATTGAAAACTTAAAATTGAATCTCTTACGGCATTTAAATATTTTCAATTTATTTGGGCTTTCCTTTTGGTTTTGAAATCGTTCGCAATACAATGGTAGGTATATTTAATTAAGTATTTTCGAAAAAATTTAACTAGCCTTTATATGGGTAAACTATCCAAAAACCTTGAAAAACTATGTCATTCTTAAAAAATTAGCAATTCCTCCTTTTTCAATTTGATCCGTCCGAAAAAAAATGTTTCGCGAGCCTAAGGTTTTTTGAAAATTTTGGCTTGAGTAATAGCCAGTGGCCCTCAGGAGTGAAAATTAGTAAGCAAGTTCTCATTGCCACTTGGCTTCCCAGGCCCTTTAAAATTTTAAAATCAGGTTGGCATTTAATTTAAATTATTAAAGGAAAATCGGGAATTGACATTGACAGAAAATAGACTGATTATCAAAAAATAATGGTTTAATGAATGTAAGAATTAGAACCAGAATTTAAAAAAATATCTAGGGAAACAAAGATATGTTTCAAACCAGTCAGGTATTTTGATTATTTCAATGATAATAATATTAACCAATTCGCCTGTTGTTCCGGTAAATTGTCATTAATATCTGCACAAGCATTTTGCCTTCCACTTCACTTTAACGTACTTTAAAAATTTGCAATTAAAAGTCTTAGGGCACTTAAATTTTCAATTTATTTAGACTTTCCTTTTGGTTTAGAAATCGTTAGCAATGTAATAGTGAGTATTTGAACCGTACTTTCAAAAAAATGTAACTAAACTTTATATGGGAAAACTATTTATAAGATTTATAAACTTTGCGAATTCTTAAAAAACTAGCATTTCCCCCATGTTCAATTTGATGCATGAGTGAGAAAGAAATTTGTTTCATTGCAACAAGGTATTCTGCGAAATTTTCGATTGAGTAATAGCCAGTCGGCTTTAGGAGTGAAAATTAATAAGCAACGTTTCATTGCCACTTGGCTGGCCGGGACCTGTTAAATGTCAAAAGAAGGGCTTGGATTTAATTCAAATTATGAAAAGAAAATCGGGCATTGACTTTGACAGAAAATCGACTGATTAGCAAAAAAATAATGGTTCAAGGAATCAAAGGATTAGAACCAGAGTTTGTATTATCTAGCGAAACAAAAAATATGTCTTAAACCAGTAAGGGATTTGGCTCAATTTTTGCACAATAGTATATAATAGGTTATTTTGCGGTAAGCTTTCAGTAATATCTCCAAAGCATTTTGCCTTTCCAATACCTTTAAATTTATCTAAAAATTCAAAACTACCGGTCTTAATCTGATGGAAATTCGGGCTTTAACTTTCATAGAAAACAACCTATTAGGAAACAATGATTAACATAAATCAAAGAATCCGAATAAAAATTTCAAAAATATTTCGGAATCTCTAAAAATATGTTTCTAATCGGTAAAGTCTTTTGACTATTTTTTCCCAACAATTATTTTAGACGATCTTGCTCTCGAGATTGCGATAAATCTCCACTAAAATCTCCAAAAGTATTTTACTTTCATCGGTTTTTAAAATGATTGAAAAATTTGAAATTTAAAAGCTTACGCCACCTAAATGTCGTCAATTTTTTTCGATTTATTTAATTCAGATCTACGCCACACGACCATACCTATTCGTGATGTATCGGCTGTGCTGTTTCATCGAATTTGTCTGCTATATGGTACAATTTAATACTAAGTATATAAAATTTAATAGTACGATAGAAAATGTATTTAGATAATGGACATAGAAAAAAGTAAAAATTCAAGTTTCATAAATCAATTTGAATTAAGTTTAAATTAATTAAGTGAGGGTCTTATGCATTATCAGGGGAGGGGAAAGTATCAAAGTATCGATTTTTGATCGTTTGTCGAACTTAATTAAACTTTAAAACTTTTTTTTGATAGTTTTCTACTTGAAATATAGCTAAATTTGATAAGAAACACTATCAAAATAATTACTATGGCGCTGCTAGGCATTTATGGACTTATGTGAAACAATTAGCCCCGCCCCCCCCCCCCCGATAATTCAAAAGCCCCCAGATAATTAAGGAATTAAAATGGTGATTTCGATTACAGTTTTCGATTTACAGGTAAACGTGATGGTGGTGTTGGCGATGAGTCTGAATCGATTGACGGTATTTCTGCTGCCCAAGCTGAATCGATACTTCTTTTCGGATGGCCGGTTTACATGGTATGTTTCGGGATTAAAGCAAGCAACTAGCGTGTGTTTATAAAATATGTTTCAAAAAGTACATGCGTCAACAGCGGATTTTCGGCTTTAATATCACAAAATCAACCTAATCAACCTAAGAGCTAATCAACTTTTTGGGCGTTTTTGAGCACGCAATTTAACCGTTCCGATCATTTTCGCGCTTCACAACCCATTAGAAAATGATGGTTACCCGGAAATTAGTATTGTAACAAATGCTTGGCCCATTCTGTCGTAGAGTCAGTTCCGCCGACCACTAGTATGGAAGCGGGATCGACTTTTTGCTTAAAAGAGGGGTCTCAAAGTTTGACCTGGTCGAGTCTGCATGATCTACAATGACATGCAGTGGGAACATTTCGGAATAATATGGCGCTTTTATGAAATTCCGCTAGCTGTCACCCTTCCTTTAAAATTCGTGAAAATTGAGAATATAATCGTAGCCGCCTATAGCCTCTGCTGACCTACATACCCTCGCAAAAATGTTTCAAGAATTTCGATAATTTTTGAAAAAGATGTTTCTAAAAATCAGCATCAATCGAGAGGAATATATCGATCAATTTTTTTCCAGTCCGATGCGGTTATTTTTACGACTGTCTCCATCCTTTAAATACATAGATTTTTTACAATTTTGGCAAATCTGCTGTCTGCAAATCGATTCCTACGAATTAACTAATCGCTAATTGTCCCTGTTAGCCCACTAGTGCTTTGAATGAGCGCTTTTTAGAAAAGGTGGTTCAAAAATTGACCATGTTGGAGCTGCATTTTCTGCCGTAATATGTACCTTGAGGGTTTACCATGGATCTACAGTTTTTGATGAATTCCTTGGTGTAAAACGTTTCAAAGAAATCTCACATTTTGGTGGTAAAGATGTTTCAAAAATCAACAGCCTTTCGGAGATTTTGCAGTCATCAGTTTGCAGTAATATAACGATGCGATGATTTCGACGGCTGTTTGCATCCTTGGAATAAAACTCGGCTTTCACAATCTTATCAAATTACAGTATGATATAAAATCGATTCCTAGAAATTAACAGAGCGCTAATTGTCCCTGCTAGTGACCCTCGAATTTTTTTTTATTTCTTAAACCTATTCTTGTCAACTTTTTGTTTGCGAGAATATCTTTCAAAAAGACAACATCCAACGAGAGGTCCTTAATGTGGTTTTTAATCGTCCTTAACATCAAAAATTATGGAAAATCATTGATAGGATTTTAATACACGGGAAACAATAATTTTCTGTACGTTTCCAGCCTGCAAGCGTCATTATGGATTGTGCCGTTCGGCCAGGCGGCCCTTCACAGTCTCTTCGAGTGCACCAAAGAGTTTTGTCATGACAGTAAGTTTTTATATAATTTATATTTAATAAAAATAATTACTTAACTCTAATTTTTTTGTAAAACTGATAGTTTCAATGCCGGAATTTTTGCCAACAGATTTGACCGGTTTTGAAAACAGGTACTGGACTAATTTTTATTTTTCCTCCATTTCTTCCTCATTTTTCCTTTTATTTTCTATCTGCTAATAATATATAACCTATTTTTACACTGTTTTTAGAGAATTTTTGATGGCCAGAAAGTTATAAAAAAATCATTTAAAAATTTTAAAAATTCGAAAGTTGCTCGAAAATCGTCGATTTGATTGTCGAAAAACCATATTTTTAATTTTTATAAAAAGTGTCATTTTTTCGATTAGTAATAGTAAATAACAGTTGAAAACAATTCACCTATTTCTTTTCGAAAAAAGGATCCTAAAAACAGAGTTGGTTTTATTATCAAAATAAAAATAATAGAAGTTTCGAGAAAAAAAAATTTGAAAACTGAGCCTAGAAAAAAGAATGATTCATAACATTTTCTCTTTAAGAACGAACGATGTGTCGTAATGTGTGATATCCTTTTGCAGGTCTGGCATTCTATTGGCACTGCTCGGCGGACATCTCGACGGCCAGCCGAACCATGGATCAGGTGTTATTCTTTCCGTATTAATTAATATTAATTCTTCTATACTTTTTGTTATTTTATATAATTTTATATTTTTTACTTGATTGTTAGAACTATCGATCAGTTTTATTTGCGTTCCTCAAGTTTTATTCATAGTCAAACCTTTTCAACAACTTTTCGGAGCAGATTTGATCATTTATCGAAATTACTAAAATTTCCAAACCTCCAATTACCTCCATTTTTGATGAAACATTAGCCATTTTCAGAATTTCCAAAATATCTAAATTGTCGAAAAATGTTAATATATTTTGTTAAGAACGTCAATTTACTTTCAAAATAAATCATCATTATTATTATTATTAAAAATCGTTAAATTAAGGGATTAGGGTAAATTATTGTCAATAACATCACATAAATACGAATTAAAATTAAGAAAAAAATGCTTCATGAAAAATATCATTTACGAGGGTTAGGCTGGTGGTAGTATTGCGAACGGACTTTCAATATGAATAAAATTTACAGGATTTCATATATTAAATACATTTTGATCTTTTTTATATTGCTATCGCTAATATTTTGTTACTATTATTATTATTTTCATTATTCTTATTATTATTGGTGTATGAAATATATCTTTTTCGCTTCAGATCCTCCGCTGGCAATGCGTGGTGGTGCCAGTACTTATCATCGGAATGAACTGCCTCCTTTTTGCCCATATTAAAAGGCTGAAACGGACCGTGGAAAGGCAAGAATATTTGGCCACCAGAGGAGAAGTGCTACTCTTATATCAGGTAACGATTTAAACATTTGAATTACGTCATAAAATATATGAAATTGTACTTTGTTGGTTATTTTGGTCAAATTTTTTTAATTTTTAATGAATGTTTGTAAGGTTACTATGATACAGAGTAGGAAAAAGTAGTCTTGAACACTTCCTTTATTTATATTAGAGCAATTTGGATACTAAGGGTAAGCTGCCCTTCCCCCCGCGATAATGCCAAAGCACCAATTTATTATACCTTGCTTTGATTTATTAACTCCAATTTGTCATAATTGCACAGCGTTAACTAGCTTAATTATCTAGGCGAGTTCGGTTTCTCCTGGCGTTTTGCCGAAACATTTTTCTGCGTAAAAGGAAAAACTACGCGCAACAAAACAAAAAGAAATTTCCAATTCTAAAAGTCGATTAAAAAGTCGAGCTTTTTGGTATTATTGCGTCACGAACTAGTAAATTTTTGACGGTTAGGAATGGAAAAAGGGCATATATCCAGCGGCTGTAATGAAAAACTAAGGTACCTATTAAAGGGCTGCAGAAAGATCGAATGGGTGAAAAAGCAAAGAAAGGCTGCACCGGGCGGGGGTCGAACCTGGGTTGCCCGCCACGCAGTCTGATGCGCTAGCCACTATACCAAAGAGTCGAGTGGGGAGGGGCGGTGGAGGGGCGCCAAATGGCTTGGGGGCGAATCGGGCCCGCTTTGGAATTACCATTAGAAATAAAGCAATTTCGAAGAGATAATAGCCAAAAATGTTGTAGAAAATCTAGCTAAAAGATAGCAACGTACTTTCCACCTTTCCAGGGTTTTTTTTGCTGTCTATGCGCCTCTTTTTCAGCCGAAACAGCGTCCCAAAACCCCTTATAGCCCAGAAATTGGCCGCCTTCTATCCAATCCGGCTCAAATTTTTACCATCGATGGGTATCACCCAGTCCTTCGTTTATGGAAATTTTTAGTCAAAAACAGTGCTAAATGAAAAACTTATAGCCAATAAACTGGTTTCTTCAAACGCGAGAGGGGGGTTTTGGGGGCGCTTACGCGAGGAAAAGCGTCGATGGGAGCGCCGCGGCGTCCGTCACCCCGACGGACGCCCGCCCATCTTCCTGCAGCCCTTTAAACTGCTGCCAATTATTTGTGCAAAACCGAGTTTGCCAAAACGTTTTGACGAAACATTTTTTTGGTTAAGAATAAATTGGAAATCGAAAAACTTCGACACCGGAAAAAGCTCTATATCGAATTGGACTAGCTTTAAAAATATACAACTACTGATGAATACAAATTTTTGTTAATAAACCAATTGTTCTGGAGGAGGCCTCAAGCGAAAAACTATCCAAAAAAATTACGAACAGTTTAGTCGAAATTTTCGTCAAAAATTGGTGTAATTGCAGTTTTTAAGTTTGCAAATACTACAAACAATTTATTAAAGCTACTTAATATTTATTAGAGGATTATAGAAAATTAGATCCGGGGGAAAAGTTATTTATGAACTCCGCTTTAGGATCATCATTATTGCTATTTTTTGATCAAAATAAAGGTTGTGTCCAAGTTTCAGCCCACGTTGATTATTTGTGCAACACCAGTTTTTTCCTGGCATTTTGGTGAAACATTTTTTTGGGAAAGATCAGCAAAAATAAATAATTAAAGATTAAACTGCGCTAAACATCCACAACTAGCGAGAAATTCAAATTCCGACTAGTAAAACGACTATTCGTGCAGAGGGTTCCAGTGGAAAAACTATCCAAAAGCGGCTAAAGAGGTTGTTATTTTCTATCAAAAATTAATGTTTCTTCGCATTTTTAATCAAATTAATCAAGTTTTGTTTATTTTAATAATTAATAAAAAGGCGAGCTCCACTCTGTGCATAAAGGAAAAAGCCTAGATTTTTATGGAAGCATGGCAATCAGCGACTATTTGCTGGCCGCAGTTTTGGTCAAAGCGTTTTGATGAAACATTTTTTTGGGATGTGAACCAAAAAAAATTGAAAAACCGCAAGAAGTTTTATATCGAATTCGGGTCAAATAGCTATAAAATATACAACTATCCAAAAACCAAATTATTGTTATTAAACCAATTATCCTTGCAGAGCCTCACAATGTGTCTTTTCGTCGGGTTCAACTCGGTCTTCTACAACCTCATCATCCCCATGGCCGTCGAGTGGCATTTTCAGGTATATTTAACGTCTATAGTTTTTTAATTGCCATGTTATATATTTTGCATATGTATTTAATGTCTTTATGAAAATAACCAAAATCACCAACATTCAAAATTTTCAAAAATGGTTAAAATATTCTGAATAAGCACTTAAACTACGAAAAGAGCATAAAACTATTATTATTAAAAGCAAAAAGAAAGAATACCACCCCCGCTAACAGTTCAGTGCCAATTTTTATGTAGGGGGAAACTAGCAGATATTTGGACCTAAAAAAATGGAAAATCGGATTTCCGAAGATGAAGAAGATTAGATTCGTCTCCGGGACTCTATGATGGCATAAAAGTGAAACATTGTTTTCAGCTCGGAACTTCCATTTCTAGCCAAAGCAGATTTTGCTTTCAGAACATGCTGCTCTTGACGTTTCTCCAGAATCTGTGCGCAATACTGGCAAACATCGCCGACCCGTTGCTGTTCATGATGTTCAACACGGCCATTCGGGAGCGGTTGGCGCAGGTTTGTCGGCATTGTCGCTAAACCCCGAAAACCAAATCGAAAGCGCTAATTTTGCGAATTGTTTAAAATGAAAATTATGTGTTTCAATTTTGGCGCTAGTCGGGTGAGCGAAATATGAAGTAATGAATAAAGATATACAATCAACTATAGATATTCTACATAGGTTCCGTCCGGATTCCGCCGCGCCGCGACAAGAAAGCGTGCGCGTTGCGTGTCGCTGGCTTAATAAAGTCATAATAATCCATAGCAGAAAAATTCGTATTAACGTCTTGTATTTTGAATTTTGAAGCGGGGGATAAATTGCTAAAAAAAGAAATACAAAGGTTATTGCCATTCTGGCAGTAGACTTTTTGATTTTATAATCTGTTTCTGCAGAGGCTGTTTATATTAAATTGCGAAAAGTTAAGGGTTATTTTAAATTATGGTTCATGCCGTGGGAGTTTGGCGCAGGTTTGTCGGCATTTTTGCAAAACCCCGAAAAATTAAATCGATAGAGCGATTTTTGCGAATTATTCAAGACGAAAGTTATATGTTTCGTTTTCAGCGCTAGTTGGGTGGGCGAAGGACTCGATAATGTTTTGCTTACACAACTCATCACTAAAGATTTTTTACCATTCTGCTATTGCCTTGCCGCGACACGCAACGCGCCTGGCGGGGCAGTTGTGCGCGTTGCGTGTCGCGGGCTTAATATCATCGTAAAAATTAATAGCGGAAAAATCCAGATTAATGTGTTTCATTTTAAGCCCTCGTCGGGTGGGAGAAAGACCGAATAATTAAAACAGATCCGGCATGTCCTGCTATAGATTATCGACATAGGTTCCGTCCGGATTCCGCCGCGCCGCGACACGCAAGGCGCCTGGCGGGGGCGGGCGTTGCTTTCACGGGCTTAATATCATCGTAAAAATCAATATCAGAAAAATCCAGATGAACCTTGTCCGTCGCTTTACCCAACTTAATTCTGCATTTTTTAAACGGGGGATCAACTGCTAAAAAAGAGAGAAAATCAATAACAGTTATTACCATTTTCGCGTTCACTCGTATGATTTTATGATCTTCTTTGACAGAATCTAGGCTGTCCTTATCAAATTGCGAAAGTATCCGGCTAATCAAAAATGTTGTAAATATTTAATCATTGTGAACTCCCCTTTTCATCGAAATAGTGACGTGGCAGCGTGAATAAAGTCAAAAATATTGGCGTGTTTCATCCTTGTCCATAGTTGAGTGAGCCTCCCACATATACAATGGGATCTTGGCCCTTCCAAAAATACCGATTTTCCGCCACCAAAAATCGGGGCCAGGTACCAAAATTGATCAAATTGCATTCCAAAGTAAATTTTCCACTTTAAACGGGTCTAAAAACTATTATTCGGTGCCTCGATCACGCAATGTAAAAGACGGGGATTACGGTATTAGGTATTTTACGAACCCACGTATTATTTTCTTAACTTTTTCGGGAATTCATTGTGTTCATCGAGGACTTTTAATAGATTTACGGTCGATTTTTTGTGGGAAAATTAGACATGTTTCATCTAAGTCCCTACATCAAAAACCCAGAAAATCTACAATGATCGAATGGCCATGTTCCAACAATAATAACACCCTTTTAACTCGACGCAGAAGTATCGGATCGTAATGATAATTACATTATTCGAAAGCCCGTCAAACGGCCAGTTTGCCATTATTTTCAAAATCATCTTTTTTTAAATTCGCTATTTTACAACGCATTTAAAAACATTAAGGAACGGCCGCTGCATCTAATTAACGGCCACTTCCCGTCATTTTGTTTGGAGAAATTGAGGCAAATTAGCTCGTGTGCAACTCCGAAAACCGCAAAAAGTTACACAACGGCTTTTAAAATCGCGGGTTTAAATAAAAACATGGTTTTGAAGATTGTTGCAAACTCGCCGCTTCAAGGGCTTTCGAATGGTGTAAGTATCATTCCGAACCGACACTTCTGCGTCGAACTTGACGGGGGGTGTTTTTAATGGGACACCATTTTTTTGATCGAAAATCCGGCGTGTTTCATCCAGTCGGTACCACAATACCCCAAAAAAAACTTACAATCCATTGTTGTCTTCTGTATAATTTTTTGGCTGAAATTGCTTCGACTACCATTGTAGTTTAAAATGCAATAACCATCCCAAAATATGAAACTTACAATTCGAAAAGATTTGACAGGCCAAAAATCAACTGGTTAAATGTTATAAAAACAATATTTTGTAGTAAGCAACGTTTTTGCGACGTATTATGAATTTGTAAAAACTAATTTGAAATTATCCTTTTTAGAGCCACCTAAATCTAAAATATCGATTTTATCGGGTTTTTCCGAAAAACCTAGTGTTTCATCTGGGTGCATAGTTGAGCGATTTTGCCACGTAAACAATTTATACTTTCCATTTGCTCCTTTCATTTTTGCGGTATATTTTGGATGAAGCCTACTGCTAGAATTGCGTCTGCAAGATTAACAGATACAAAAAATTTAATTTTAAAAAATGTATGAAAGTTGAATGTAACTTGAACGCTTTATTAAACCGCGAGAACGACCTTCACACTGCCAAAATTTCGAAACAATAAAAATTAAGCTAAATTTTAGATAATCTGCCGACTGCCGACAAAGCGAACCACCACCATCACGTCTACGTCAAAATATTAATGCTAATTTAATCGATAAATCGTGGAATTGAGTAATTTCGCTAAAAGTTGGCACTGACCCAAAAAGGAGTTTGATTGAGGTGGCCTGCGGCGAATTAATCTTTTCTTTAGACAGAACACATTTTTTGACCCCGGGTTTTTTTGATTTTTTTCTTGATTTTTAATCTGTATTTTTCAAATTATATCGATTATTATATAGAATTTCTTTGGCACGTTCTTATTACTTTATAAACGAGTAATAAAAAATTAAATAGGGTAGACTTCACTTAACCCCCGCCCCCCCCCTTCCCCCGCCAGCCCGGGAACCGACAAAATTTTTCGGCATTTCCGCTATTTGTCGAGATTTTCGCACGGGCATTCGACGGAGAATCAAAAATATACCATGAATTTTGATTGCGACTCAAAATAATGTATCTTAGAAAAATTATGTCGGAAAGTACTTGGGCACCTGCGGCCGGGGGGTGTAAGGGGTGAAATAAGGGTTTACGGTTTGGTTGAGAACGACTCCAACAGGTGGTTGCTGAAAATATACAAAAATGAAATACATCAAAAATTGAGTAAAATTCAGCAGATATGAAAACTTTATTAAACCAAGAGAATGACTTTTAATTTTTTGGAAACAAATAAAATAACAAAAATTTTAGATACATAATCTGCCGATTACCGACAAAGCGAACCACCACAATCACGTCCACCTAAAAATATTAATGCTAATTTAAGCGATAAATTGTTAACTTAGGAAATTTCGATTAAAACCCAAAAGCTTGCAATGCAAGAAATTGAATGAAGTAACCTCCCACGCAGGGCTTCTTAAGATACAACACATTTTTCCACTTCGGCAGTTTCCAAAGAAATCCTTTTTGTTGATTTTAAATGTATTTATATATTTATTTGTGTTATGTAGAGTTTTCAAGGTGTTCTATACAACCTTTATTGTAATGCCAACCGCTAAATATTAGTGCTAATTTAATAAACAAATCGCGAAATTGTGAAATGGCGATAAAAGTTAACGTGCCAAGAAGAAGAAAATCGATTGAGGTAATTTTCGTCGCAATAAAGATAAAAGATAAAACACATTTTTTCACATTTTTTCCAAAAAATGTTTTATTGATTTTTAAAATGTATTTGAGTATGTATTATGTATTCTGAATAATTTTCTAGGTAATTTTTGCTTACTTGTAAATTATTAACAGAAAGCTAAATTGCTATGAAGTATTGAAGCAACGTTTTCGCCTTAAATATGAAGAAATTAGATAAATTTATTAACCGCATTGTCCTCTTATTTTGTGAAACTTAAAAAAGTTTTGGCCCCTTATTAAATAGTAAATCGGCTAAACTAGGAAAATAAATACAGAAAGTACCGAAAAAGAGAGAAAAATAAAAATTGCGGCTAAATTTCTACCGTATTCCTTTGAAATATACTGTAGGCCTGTAAAGGCTTATTTATTTTCTAGCCCCCGAAAAACCAGGGGGACGTGCGAAAAGCTGAAGATTAGCGGGTCGTCAGTTATGTTTGAAGGCCTCTCTCTCCCTCGCTCTCTCTCTCTCTCACCCTCTCTCTGTTTCGCTCTCTCTCCCTCCCTCTCTCTCGCTCACTCTCTCTCTTTTTCTTTATCTCTCTCTCTCTCTCTCTCTCTCTCTCTCTCTTTCTCTCTATTTGTTCTCGACGACCCGTGAGGACTGTTAACGGTGTCCCCGTTAACAGCGGATTGCGCGCCGCCGTCGAGTGCCCCGCTTTTCATCAGCATTTCCCTTTAGGCTTTTCCTGCTTTGAAAATTGTTTCTCTTGATATATATTTAACTACCAATATTTAAGCTTAAATGGCTTTTTTAACGAAACCCCACGTAAACCACGTACACGGACAATCCAAAAAAAACCCCAAAAATTACCCAAAAAACGTTGATACATGATTTTTCTGGCGATAATTTTTCAGCTACAGCATTAGGGATTACTAAAAGTTGCGTTACCCTTCGGCCTCAGCTGCTTTGTTTTGAAACCCTGTGAACTTTTAGCCACTAAGAATCCGTAGCATCAGCATCCTACTATATATAAAAAAATAGTGTCTGTGTGTGAGTGTGTATATTTGCATGCAACTTCCGTAAGTATGTACCGCACTTACAGCCTCAAGGGAAGGTTTTTAAGGTACGTATGATACGTCATTAGGTGCGTAATGGTCCCGAGATGGGTGCACACATATAAAATTGAAGAAAATCGGCTGTTTTCGCTATTAAAAGTAAGTTTTTACTTTTTTCGCTATTAAAAAAGTTTTCGCAGTTTTCGCAGTTTTCGCTATTAAAAGTCGAAAAATCTCTTTGTTAGGGGGCAATTAGCATTGACCGGAAGTGGCCGTAGCCTATAAAAAGGGAGGGAGCGTGCGCTTTTCATTTTTTGGTGAGCGGCATTCAGTAAGCCCTATGTAAAGTCAAATTTTCAGAAGTCCTAGACGGGTCCAGGGTTGAAAAGCCGCGAAGCGGTTTTTCAACCCTGGTGTGAGATTAAAAATTTGAAGCCACAAAAATTTATGAATTTTTGCAAGATCAGGCAAGAGTTTACGTTTACGTTTACGTCGCATGAATCAAGCGATATTATCGACCAACGTATTACCATCGACAAACCCGAAAATATCCCAGAAAATGTTGATACATCATTTTTTGGCATGAACGACGTGAAACGGCATGAAACGCATAAATACATAAATCTGTGTATTAGCCTTGCAATTTCCTGCAGAATTACGTTATCCAAAACTCAAATTATTTAAAAATGGCTTGAAACGTAGCTTTACCTGGACCCACCCGCATAAAAAATCGAAAAGTTGTGGAAGAATGATTTAAAATTAGGCCATTTATGGCATTACAAAATCCTATTAATATCTCCAGCGTATCAATTTGTACTCAATTTTTCTAATATCATTAGCGGAAGTGTTTCTAAGTGTTTATTACGCCTAAACGTAAAAAAACTTTACAAATTTTCATTAAAATCACCAAAAAATTCGGTTTTCACCGCAATTTCAAAATTTCTAAGTTTTTTTGAGGTTTGTAAATAGGTTTTCCACTTAAAATATAGCTAAATTTTACAACAACAAACGTTAGTAAAATACTTGCAATTACTTTACTGGGCGTTTTTTGGGGCTTTTAGGTACATTTTATGACGCATTTCAAAATTTAAATCTACATATTACGACATGTAAATTCCGACTTCCCAGTCCCTTTAATAAAAATAAGGCTTGTGACCGTTCCCAAATAGATAGACGAACCCCCACCCATCATCACTCATCAACGCTTTCTCGACCACAAACATCGATTCTCATGTGTGGACCCTTTAGCCTCTGAACGGAGAGAGAGAGAGAGAGAGAGAGAGAGAGAGATAGAGAGAGTGAGAGAGAGAGCGGGGGAAAGAGAGAGAGATACAGGGACATTGTGACACAAACATACCGACATCCAAATCGGCTTTTCCCTCCCTGACTGTCCCCCTTCCACTCCCCCCACCTACCGACTAACACCCGAAATAACGTTGCTTTCCCCCCTACCACACCCACCTGACCACTTTGATTTGTTGTGAAACATTTCTCGGATTTTAAATTACCTTAAAGGTAACCTGAAAGGTAAAGGTTGAAAATCTCGATAATTAGCAGCTCCACTAAATGAGCGCAATCCACTGACGGCCGAGCACAATTTTTACCGAAACATACTTTATTAATCTTCTCCTCACAAATTTTGGTAAATCTTGGATTAAAAAAATAATTTTTGATTTATTCTTTGTTTTTGTCGAAAACTCTTGCAATTTCCGCAAGCTGGTTGGCAATAGCTCCCAGGGAAAAACTATTTTAAAGTCGGCAATTGACGAAAAGTGGGCACACAGAGTAACTGGTGGTGTATCATATTCCGTTCCGAGAATTCGCAGCGCTCAATCTTTGCTTTTCCGTACAAAAAAATGTTTTATCTAATCATATTGTAAATTTGAAAAGGCATAGCGATAATTAAGCGACGCCTCGGTTTTGTGGCACATCGCGAATCTGTGGCAGATGCAAAGCAATGCCGGTTTCTCAAAACAGAAAGCATTCAAGGCGAAAACATATTTTTTCAGAAAATTCCTGTTTTCCCCATTCCCTTCCAAAAACATGTTTTACTAAAATAGTTAATTGGAAAGTTTTTGTATTAATAATTAGAACTTGACCATGTTTGTCCGGTGCCATGAAAAAAATATGTTTTATCAAAATTATTAATTGGGGGAAAAAGGTTTCGCCATAATTGGTCAATCCGGGAGATTAGAGCAGAAGTCTCAAATTTGACCAATTACAAAAATTCTAGACTAAACGACCGCATTTCATAATACTGCATTTTATAACTACATTTAAAGTCGGAAAAACTGGCTAAAAAACTTTGCAAAAATTTCCCGTGAAATGTTGGTCGAACATCGATATGTTTAAACTTTAGAACCCCGTTTAGTTGTGTATTTAAAGAATTAAGAAATAAACGAACGGATTGCCCCTTCGATAATGCACAAGAAATTTTTTAATGTAATCCGAATTCGTTAAAATTTTAAATGTTGCTTTCTATCCGAATATCAGATCGGATGAATTTTGTTGGGATAGATTGCACTACATATTAAAATTTAGCCAATTATCCTGGCTACGTTACTGTGATGAAACACGATTTACTAACCGCTGTTACGATTTTTTGTTACCGAATTGGCTTGTAGCTTCCAAATTAGCTTCTTTCCCCCTTTTGCAGGTGCACCATACGTTTATCGAAAATTCTGGCTGCGCACTTCAATTTGGGTACCAAAAAGATGTTTTATTTATGTTATTGCTGGAAAAAATTTCAAGGGGCCCCGGACCGTTTGATCAGCCGTTTAAATCTAGCTGAATCATGCAGAGATTAAAATAAACGGCAAGGGCATCACCGTGAGTTCAAATTAGTGCCGGTCTCTTAAGACAGAAACCATTCACGGCCGAAACATAGTTTTTCACAACATGCGGGTTGTCCGGATTGCGATAA